CGCATTGTTTTCTTTCTTTCTTATCTGTTTGTTTGTTACGTTTGTATCTCGCGCTCTGTTTTCTTTCCTTTCTGTTTGTTTGTTACGTTTGTATCTCGCGCATTGTTTTCTTTCTTTCTTATCTGTTTGTTTGTTACGTTTGTATCTCGCGCACTGTTTTCTTTCTTTCTTATCTGTTTGTTTGTTACGTTTGTATCTCGCGCACTGTTTTCTTTCTTTTCTGTTTGTTTGTTACGTTTGTATCTCGCGCTCTGTTTCATTGTCTGTTGGTTTGTTACGTTAGTATTTCATGCACAGTTTCCTTTCTTCTCAGGTTGTTTGTTAGATTATTTTCTCACGCTCTGGCTGTTTCTTTTCTTTTCTGATCGTTTGCTGCGTTAGTATCTCGTACATTGTTTTCTTTCTTTGATTGTTACGTTATTATCTTGTACAGTGTTTTTTTTTCCTCTTTCTTTATTGTGTTAGTATATCACGACTTCTTTTCTCGTTTCTGTTTACCTTAAAGTTTTTTCAACAAAGGCTGGTGAGTGTAAGTCCGGATGGCTTTTTCTGGGCCCGCTCACTTCAGCCTATCTAGTCATACACACTTTAAGTTTCATTATGGTTTTCTCTGGGATTGCGTGCGCGGGGCCGGTTTGGTTAAATGATAATCTGCAATAGATTGAGGAATCATGCAGAGAGAGATAAAGGGAGACCTTATTACTTTTACGTGTTCACTATGAAGGGCGTCTTTTCACTGAACTCTCCAGTCCTATTAGCCGCTGAGTGTGATGGTACTTGCCAAATGAGAACTACTGGATACTTTAGTATTCATGCTCAACGGATGTGAATGTAGCGAGAAAAACGAAAATGTCATAACTTTTCAGTAATTTTCGGTTTGAACTTTAGTACTGGACGGTGGGAAAAGTCATCGACAAAATTGCGGTCACTGCAAGACTGAAAAATGATAATAACAAGGCAGTAGCAAAGGTAAGAACTGTCTAACGGCCTAATACTGTTCCGTGTGAAATGTTAGGAAGCATGAGCTTAATGTTGCGTCCTTGTTGCTTGTTTTGATTGAATCACTGATTGATCGAGGTTTAAAAACCCTGTTCGTCCAACCTCTTGTTCCTTGATCTTTCTTCATTTTGTTTTGTCTTCCGGACTTACGAACTTCACTCGTAAGGGTCACATGATTCACATTGTTATTTCATCCCTCCCCCCTCCTTTACAATGCTGTTATGTTCTAGAGAAGATGATCCTCGTTATTTTAACCCTTTGGCCCCTGAAAGTGACTGGTTTCTAATTTCTCCTTACGGTAGCCACCTTGAATCTAATGTAAAGGTCATGAGAATAAAGGAAATGATCACTAATATAAGAAGCTCCTAATGGGTTAAAAACAAATTCTCCTTGTCAGTACCATGGGAAATGTATCGAATACTGTACAGAGAGGATGAAGAAGAGAAGTGATGGCGCAAATGCGAGAGCGCTCGCCTCCCACCATTGTAGCCTGGGTTCGATTTGCGGACCTGGTGTCACGTGGGTTGAGTTTGTTGTTGGTTCTCGTCCTTGCTCCTAAGGTTTTTCTCCAGACCTCCGGTTTTCCTCCCTCCTCAAAACCAACGTTCTGAGTTCTAATTCGGCATGGAAACAGTGGATAAGAAGAGCCAATTAATGGATTGTCTGCTGCGAAATCCATTTCTTTGTTATTTAAATCCCATCTAAAGGGTGTGAAGGAGTAAAGTCCCAGTGGTTCATTATGGAAGCATTATGGAAACCCACCAATGATTACTACCTATCGCCAGATATATATATATATATATATATTTCAAAGCTTACCTCTTTACGTTTTCGAACCTTTACGCTTATTTCAGCCTCTAATTGCAATATTGTAATTCTCAATCTTATTAGAAGCTACGACTGTTTCACGGAAGTTCTGGAGACGTTCTAGACTTACAAAATCCTTTGGAACATTTTCAGACGCAAGATGATTGCCCAGTGTTGAGTGGAAGCACAGTTGTTTTAGAATATGTGGATGAACAATGCGCTCAACTTCTTACAAATCGAGACAAATATCCCACGTGAACGTAATAAACTTGTAAAACTTTCAATCTGTGTGTTCATATGCATCATATGTTCAATCTGTGTGTCCTTCTGGACTTCTCTGTTGAGATCGGTGAAACACTGGTTCTACTTTAAGAAAGAAAAATACGTTCTGATGGGAAAAAAAGTCACAGTGATTTACTAGTATGGGTTGTAGGGAATCACGAAACTATTTGACACAAGATGCATCCGACATATGTCATTAGTGTTGTAATCATCGATTTATTGCGTTCACGACTGAGCTAGGTACATGCTGCAATAACTACATTTAGAAAGCATATTTAGAGCTAATTTCCAGCGATGCTGCAAAAAAATTGATTCAATATTACCTCTGTGTGGCCATTAATAGGGCTGAGTGTTTCATTGTTATCCTACCCTGAATACAATCATGACTGTTATCGTCGTCATTAGTGTTGCTGTGATTGTTGTTGTTGTCATTAGTATTGATATCATTACCATGATTACTTTATCATTATCAATAAGAGGATACTATTTTGGCTGAACTAAAATTGTATTTAATATTTTCAGAACTCTCTTAGCTCAATAACCGACGAGTTTTCCTCAGGGTGAAGGACAAATTTCTTTTAAAACCACCGAAGCTGCTTCACGGGAATTTTCTTTGAACCGTTTGAGGAGTCGGGATTCTTTACAATTAAAATTCTCAGCTTCTGTGGTTGTGCAACTCCCTTCTTCAGCAAACACTCTGCACAGTTTAAGTACATCGTATCCTGGGTTAGTCTTTAATTTTTTGCTGAATTGACTGCCACATCTCCCATACACTTCTTTAGCGCAAATTTCACGGTCAAATCCATCTGTTGAGGTGAAAATATACAAAAAAATATGAAGAGAACCTTAGAAAGTCTTAGAATTACGATTCTTTTTAAAGGAGAAGTTTGTGTAAGACATCACGTGATTTTCAACCGCCCTTCAAGAGTTTTCCAAAATTTGCTTCCTTACGCATTTTTAGATTTCGAAGAGTTACATATACATTCGAAAACTGTCTTCAAAGGAGCAAAGATTCCACTGAAGACGCTGTCATAAAAAGGAAAGAGTATCTTGAAATCTAGTTGCACATACAAAACCACAGTGTGTGGTTCACATATAGCGGCTTACTCTTCTTACCGTAAATAGTTATCGTCCGAAACAATAATGCCTTCGGTGGAGTTCCTGATTGTTCAAACCGATCTTTAAGACATGGAAATTAAAAACTTAAGAGAGATTTACTTCAAAGATACAAAGAGTGAAATAAAACCACTTAAGTTCCGGAACAAATGAAGTCTTGACGTCTCACTTGACATGTGTATTTCACTCAAAAGGCTTTCACCGACCGAGGTTTCCCCGAGATATTCCATCGATTGTTGGATTGTGTTTCGTGAATTTCATGCAGCACACGCGAGATATGAAATACCGAGATCAGTTGTTTAGGAAGACATCACGCGCTTCGATTACATGACTTGACCAATAAAAAAAATACTGAATATAGCAAGCTAAGTGCGAAGTTGCTAGGTAAAATTAAAATGGTGGCGTCCTTAATTTTTAGGACAATTTTCGAAAGGTTCTGGTACTCTTAAGAATCTTCAGACGCGGTCGATTTCATAATCAAACATGTACTTTCCATCGGCGGAGATAGAAATTAAATGGTTTCTGGGTCAAACTTCTCCTTTCGTGCACAAAAATATTTTTAAAAACAAATAGATTCCATGTTGCTGTGCGTTGTTAAACGATAAAAATAGAAATATATCTAACCTAAAAACATTGTAAGGGTTTCCTATATTGGTGTTGGAAAAGGAATGGAAATAACATATTTGCATAAGCCATTCAGTAAACGTTGTAATTAGCCAGTTGATCATTTCTTATTCCTTTTGGCGGTCTTACCTTACAGATAGAGTTTGGTCACCTTTTCCTTATTGTGATCGTGAAATTGACATGGAGACAGATGTTTTTGCGTAAACTGCGATTTGCGGCTAGATACCGGTATATTTTCATTATGTTGCTAAAAGAATAATTAATTACTAATAAAATGACTCTACCCTATAAAAATTCATCCCGTATAGGAATTTCCTGGAAATAACCCTCCTTTATACTTTTACCCATTTACTCTCGTGTTTAGGCTAAATCCATGGTGAATTCCCAATTTAGTATCTACTTAGTATGCGAACTCCGTTCTGCGTAGCCCAAAGGGATTTGCTATTTAAGTGTAAAAGTATGACGAAGGTTAGAGATTGACAGCTCCGTAAGTGTCACCTTGGCCTCGAGAGATCAGAGCCAGTCCCCGTTGTAATAACTTGTGTAGAAGAGAGAATAAAAAAAAAGGCAACAAGACAACTAGTGTTAAAGTAAATTTTACATCTAACAGCGTCTGTACAGTCATAGATCACAGGTGACGTCAAAATGCGATAACAACGCTAGAGTGACACGGTGTGTCACTGATGTTCCCACCTCGTTTTGGCGTCTACTGTGATCTATTACTGTACATACCCACGGGAACATGGAGTGTACGTGTTTCTTTTTTCTGATGAAAAAGCAAAATACTGTTGATAGCGACGTCATCTGTGCGTTTGTTCCCCAACAGATCACGAGTAAAAACCCAGAGAATATGAACAGTTAATATTCTCCTAATAATACTTTATAAAATAGGGAAAATTATAAAAGGGAATATCAGTTGATATTCTCTGGATAAAATCAAATAACCATTCAGACGATAAAGTAAATGATATTTCCACTTACTCATTTCCTCGATTGCCTGCAACTTCTGGAGGAACTCTGCACCGGATTCTGCAAAAGAAATATGAGTTGTTCAACAAATACTTACCGCTGGACCGTTTGAATGTGTAGTTGAGGATCTCAAATTGATTTGCAATCAAGAGAAAATAAGGAAAACAATTTTTTTGAAAAAGGAATCAACTTATTTTAGCTCGGGGAACAAGCTTCACCCTCGAATAGTTCAGTTTTTAAGATGGTCGCTTTGAAAGTTGAAATTTAAAATATTTTAGACGAAACAACTACCCCAAATGTAAATTAAGCGATGTTAGGCTTTAGGTTCTGGAATACTGATGACCATGGCTAAAGTTTTCTTTTTAATACTATCAGTCATCGATAAATTTGCCACTAACTTGTCTTAGCTTCTTCTAAGAGTTCTTTAAAGTTTTTTCGGGTACACAGTCCTGTTCTGTTGGTGAAAATCAGTTGGTTGAACATGAGAAGGCGAAGGTTTCTGGTTAACGGTTTGCGGAAGCATTTGCTGTCCTGGAGGCATTGAGCCAAACCCTAGAAAAGATATGAAAGAAATTATAAGTTGCAGGAGATCAGCTTTGTGTAGTTTCAAGTCACTGATTTTTTTTTTACTTTGACCTTGAGATCTGCAACTGACAAATGACAGGATTCACACTGGTAACAATGAACAAGAGCATTGGAAAACTGCATGAAATCTCAAAAAAATATGACTCAGTCTTTACGGCTACCTTCTTCGATTCTTTTTCGATGATGAACAATTCAACATATGAACATAGGGCCAAGCAAAAGTTTGTTATTGTTGAAGTTTCCAGTTAAGCTCCTTACTCACCACGTCAAGGGCACAAGATGGCGGGTCTTCGACAGAGGGATTAAAGCTGGACGGCAAAACGTCAAAGCCCAGTTTATATTTCTTAAGACAACATTCAGTGATATTCTTGTCATCCTGGTCTGTGCAATTTTTCCCGTGACGTATTTTTAGGCACCGATCTGACTTTGGTCTCCGCTTAGCGTTCGACAACGACATCAAAACACAGCAGGTTATTAACACGACAAGCAGCAAACCTTCGGATCGTTTTGCCATGTCTGGGTCTATCAGAACAAAATAAAATAGGCAATTTGTTCGTCATGTTTTTCCAGTTAGTACGGATCTTGAATTCTAATTAGTTATGGAGACATAAGTATGGAGTATAATTTTCCTTCAAAATTTCAAACACGAGCTAAACTCCCATTAAATGAGAAAAAATTAACATGAAAAGTGTCACTGCTTTAGTCTGTAGGAAAGTCGAAAATGAGATTAATTAAGGCACGAAAATGCGAAAAAATCAGAAACATTCAACAAAAAATAATTTAAGTCGTCCATACACCAAAAGTATTTCAGGAAGAGATTCCAGACGATACGTAACAAGCTTGCTCGTGCAGATATTTTGTTACCTTCCGTTTCCCAATATTTGTGTTCTGGATTTTACGAAGCTCTACACAGTGACTAATGAAATTAGTAATTACTTACGGTCTTAGTTAACAGCTTTAGCGACTCGAAATTAAGAAACTAACTTTAGCTTAACGTGTCTTAAAGAGCGACTTTAGCGAGATGTTAGTTAATGATTCCCTATCGCGATTGCTTAACATCGGAAAGAAATGAGGCTCAGATGTGGGTAGCCATTTCTCGGCAGCCTCGTTCCCAGAGTCCTGTGGAGCTCTGCCTTGGTTTCTCAGCAGAGTGTTGAAGTGTTTATCTGTAACATCGTAAAAACTGCTGCGAGGAATATTACCACCCCTCCCCCCCTCCTCGTAAATTTGTTCGCCCTTTGAACTTAGGTGTTCACAGTGAAATTTGACGGAGCGTAATACTTAAAACTGACGACAATTCTAATGGGAAAATGATAAGTGTTTACCCGATTCTAGTCTCGTACCTTACTCGGCCAAGCGCCTCCATTTCATTTACAATTACACGGTAGGATCTGGGTACGAGGTTAACCCCTTCTATTGTTATTGAGATAAGTGGCGCTCAGTCCTTCAGAGCGTAATTCTTTAATTTCATCGTTTATGTAAACTTAAACGGTCCGTTGAATTTGAAAAAAGTAATGCCGTAGGAAACACCTAAACACACGTCATGTCTTTATTCTTACTGTTCGGGTAAATGAAGCAAGTTGCAACAACAAAAAGCAACAAAATTTACGCGACTTTTTTTTCTCTCTTTTTTAAGTCCTCATTTTAAATTTTAAATTTATGTCAAAATGAATTCAATGCTTCCAATGTATCTATGACAACAGCATGAACACTTGTAATGGGTTTCTAATTGTTCACTCTGCATTCTGTCACGTTTCAAACCGGAAAGAGTTGCATGTCGCACATGATGTTTTTTTTCTGTTGTGTTGCATTTTCTTTAACGACAGCTGGGAAAACTACAACCATCCGTTACGTAACCGGTGTGGACATGGTTGTTGCCACTCTTTGATAAATATTTTGTGCCTTTTGTCACTAGCAGCTCATAACACAACAATTGTGTCATAGTGACGTCTTGACTTTTTAAGAGTATTTTTTCCTTCTTAATTTACATAAAAAACTCTGCACGCAAAATAAATATTTTCCTCAAAGAAGGTGTAGTGGAAATCCGCCAAATAACACATTTTCGTATATCATTTTTTTCTTGGCTATGTTCCCTCGCATAAAACTGTGGCAAAAGAGACGAAATTAATCATTGATCGTTAATTTAATCAACTTACTGAATTTTCGCCAATCACAGAAATGCATAATGCTTTACACAGTTAAAATTCTCACTTGTAACTCAAAAATTATCTTGATCATCGTTACTGCTCAATCGCCGATCAATCTTGCACAACTTCTCAGGCTTTTGTATCACCAGATAATGTATTCAGGTATATTGGAATAAACCGATCGACTCTTTCAAGATGTGTCACTGATAAGCTACTAACGGCACTGAATGCAAGCGTAGAGACAGAGCTAAAGGATAAAGCTTTGACGACTGTGTTACACGTCACTGAAAATTCACCAGCAAGCAACATGTCTCCACCGCCTAATGATCGACGCTTTCAATTTCACTTTCAGCACTTGCTAGCACGAGCATGAAAATTGTGGAATATTTTAACCCAATACTGCAAGGTTGTCGATCATGCCTGAATTAACAACCCGGTGTAGTCTAGTCTGATGTGATACCAGAAATTGGTAAAACTTGCAGAATACATGAATCTTTCCAAATCTATCGCTTACCAACTTTCTTCAACCTCATCTTACCTTCAATTTGCCTTATCTCGTCAATCACCTCAATAAACAAATGTAAAGTGTTAACTATATATAAAGAAGAGCACTGATCAAAAGCTATCCTCCTGTTCAACTATTTTCTCATCGATAAAAACCGTCAAGGGAAGAGTTGGGAGAAGATTTAATCTGAACACTGACAGAACAAGGAAAATAACTGTGAAATTTAAAACCTTAGTCTAGAATAATAGATCCGTAAAAGAACATCATTATCATAAACTGTTCTGTGGGCCACAACTTCATTTACACCGGTTCTTAAGTTTAAATTTGAGGATGGATAGTCAGCGGAAACGGCGACAGTACTCGTAATGGTTAACATCTTAATTCTCCTGAAGACTATTATCTTTATTACTTGTCAATCAGGGCACGTCCTTGTATTTTCGTCTGTAAACAAAGAAGTAATCCACAACGGTATAATTCCATTTAATTTGAGTTTTCTTGATGCATCGACGTTTTAGGGAAAAAAAGCACAAGTGAGCTACTACGTGAATTAATTTTTTTGGCTTCCAAAAGGAATCGACTCGACCGCAAAAACAAAAAAAATAAATAATGAAAAATCCACCCACGAGTTGCAAAGCGGAAAAAATAAATACCCTTGGGCATTGTTCCCTTATTGTTTGAATTTGGATCTTACTTTATCACATAGATAACACTGGAATCTCGGTAAGAAAGTGGCAAAAACCCCGCGCGCGCCACTTCACAAAATATCAAGCAGAAATTTTTGCCTGATTTATGGCAATAGAAAGGCGCTTAAAATGACTGTAAACCTCGTAAATGTGCATTTTTGTTCGGTTGTGTTATTTCAGGAGTCCATTTTAATGTGCAAATATTTGTTGAGTAAAATTTTGGAATTCTAATTATTTGGTGGTTTACATCGTTTAAGTCAATTTATAGAACTGCTTTCTGTAGAACTTCGAGTAAACAAATCAATTTTCAGAAATTAACTCTTTTTCGTGCAACATTTCTTCGAGGTGAGCGCCTGGGCGCTTAATTAAAATTTCGGCTAAAAGGGGGGCTCCTAGCTCCTATTGCGCTTAATTAAGAGGAGTATATTAATCTCCTGATGCCGCTGAAGTACAAGCGTAAAAAAGTTAAAAAAAATTAATGGCAATAGAAACAGGTTTTTCTTGTATCCCTACTATTTAAGAAAGTGAGGGAGAGGGGGGAGGCAATTTTTCGTGAGGAGGGTGCTTATTAGAGAGTGGGTACTCTTTCTATTAGTTGTTCTCGTTAAAAGGCTAATACAATTCTTTATATAAAACTTCTCATATGATAGGAAAATTGACGCGCCTTTTTTTTCCTTTTGTTTCAGAAGGATTGGCATTGCACTTGTTGTACATTCCGAAGACGAGATTTTGACTAGTGTGCATGGTTTCCGAGAAAACCACGAGAGCGCACAATTGTGATCATCTTACCAATTTTAAATGGATAATAAAGAAAGGTTAGGGTAATTAACATTTGTCATTCCAGCTTGATTTTTTTGGACTTAATGAACTCTTTACTTTGGTATTGATACGATTGCTGATACGCTACAACAAAGAGTGATTGCTGCACAAACTAAGCTCGACTTTTCACAGTGGTAAGGTCCAAGAACAAACGAGGAAAATGGTGCATTGCGATATAAAATAGCGACAGGATTTAAATAAGCAGGTAGGAAACTGCTATTGGAAATTCCTTGGACCACTCATCGACTTACGATTGTAAGAGGGAAAGGAATACTTCTTGACAGTTTGTTTCTGATTTACTGAGTTGCAAGGCAAGGTATTTTTCATGAGGCAAAGTAGTGAATGTTCATTGTGTTTTTTTTTTAATAAAGAGAAACCCGCCAAAAAGTGGCCCCGTAAAGTAACCACAATATGCAAACTGGTTATTTGAAATAATTAATTTCCGACTATTGCGCATCAAGAAGGCTATGCTTAGTAACCTTTTCTTTAAAAAAATGGCTTAAGTCAAACACCATCTTTGATGACCAACTTCGACAATGAAGATGAATGCTTACTTCCCTTTTGCCAATTCTTTGATATATGTTTAAAATGTAAATAACCTATCATTGGCAAACTGTTTTGAAACAGTTTGTATCAATTGACCCTTTTTTCGGAAAAATGTTTGAACTCTTTCTGGCATTTGAGGCGTTTAAAATTGATTCCCACTTTTTGGCAAACTGTTTGAAAATGAAGTTTAAAAAAAGTAGGTGATATCATAGAACGACGATTTTTACCATTTGTTTGAATAAGCCAGATCTTATGTATACTGGTAGCATTTTCGTTTGCGGTCTTTTGTCTTTTTCGAGGTGTTGCAGCTAGGCTAATGATTCCCAAGCAACAGCACTGATCACCACATCTTTTTTTAACCTCAGCATTGTACTCCACTTCTTTTCCTATTAAAATTGTCATCACTGCTCACGTTTTCTCTTCGCGAGAAGAAAGACAACGCCACGCATCCGGACTTTGTATTTGTGTATGTGTAGTGAAGTGTACCGTGATATACTGTGGTCAGTCAAGGCACTGGGCCTGAGCGGTCATTTTGGCTTTACAGTTGTCACATCTTCCCCGCCAAGTTTAAATCATAATTTTGCACAATGTCGAGTACTAAATTACCGATGATATTTCAGACTGCAGATTTGTCCGTTGAAACTCGGGTAGCAGCTTATAAAAATGATATTTTGGGCTTGTGTAAACCGCGCGAAGTTCCCGATAGAATAGCGAAATACATTGGTCGAAATGTCGAGGCGAGTGGATGGAACGCAGTATGGAGAAGTACTCCTAAATCCAGCGGACAACTACATCCTTTTGACGTTGTAGTGGAGGTAAGCAGTTTTTATGTTTTCCTTATCAAAATGGCTAAAAGTAAACTAGATCGTGTTCAATTTAACAGAGCGCTTGCTTTTTTTTCTACACGCTGTCTTCGTCGACTGTAGTTGTAATGAAGAATGTTGTCGAATTACCGGTACCTTATTTATTTCCTTGTTTAGGATTTGTTTTAACGGTACACACAGAAGCATACCTAGTCATACCTAGTCATACTTTTCAAACTGAAAACAACTACAAAATGTGGTAAGAACATCAGTGACACACTCGGCTGCGCCTCGTGTGCCACTCTTTTGTTCTTACCACATTTTGATGTCATCTGTGATCTATTACTGAACAGACGTACGACAACTTGGAATCTATTTGTTAAATAGTCTATATGTGATTGACAGGTTTCAAATGTCAATGCCAGTGACATTATGGCAGAAGTCAGTATATGTGAACCAGTGGTCACAGACTGCCTCAATGATTTAGACACTGAAAAAGTCAATGCATACCTTTGCTGTCACGGCAATCGTGTTCCTCTAACTGAGCTGTGCCCAGTGTATGATGAAACTGGACAACATGATGAAACCGCATTGGCCATTGAGCATGTCAGGTACATGTTTGTTGTGTGTGTGTGGTGTGTGTGATCTGTTGCTCTTTGATAGATCTCCTTATTGGTCTGAGAGATTTTTCAAATCTAACTTAACATTATTATATGTAATTAAATGTAAATGCAATAACTAATTTTGAAGCTATTGTTCTGTTTCACAGAACTGCTCTTGACCAATACTCTTATTGTTTTATATCAAGTTTCTTAGTAAGAATTTCAGAAACTTAAATTAGGTTTCACAGCTGAGACATTAGTAATAGTCTCTGCTTATTGTCAAGGTTTTTCTATGAGAACATTTGGAGAGAGTGGGATGAGGACGATGATGGAGAGTATTGTTATGCCGGCCGACATTTAGACACAAGAATTCAACTCTACTATGATATACAAGAAGGAAACCTTCCTAGAGATCTGGTCAACAACTATAGAGGTGGGCAATCAGAGAAAAGGAAAACTTTGTGATCTACAACATTTTCCTTCAGAGAACCATTATAAAGCATGGGTATTTAGTTTGATTTTCTAATTGTATCCTCGTGGTGGTCTGACAACAGTACTGAAAGTTAATTCAGAACCAATTGGTTTATGCATGGATAATATTAGTAATATGGGTGTCTGGCAATTAATTTCTTTACTTCTCAATAAAAAAAAGTACAAAAAGCTTTTAAAATTAAGCTATTTAATTCATCAAACAACAAAGATATCATGGTTGATGAGTGTAGCTGTACATGAAGGTCTTGATTGATCTTTTTCCCTGGACAGATAGTTATAACCAGTATAGGGAGAAGTTAGCAGAGCTGAAACAGCTTCAGGAAAAAATTGCAGTCAGTGATCTTGATGAAGAGCTTGATGAAATGGATGTGCTCAAATGTGCACAGATGTCAGAAGTGTGCGAGTCACTGGTTCATTCACTGCAGATCATAGAGAACCCACAAATGAGGTACCTCTTAGCTTCTGTGTCACCTAAACTGGTGCAGCAGGGTCCCAGGGGTAACAGACCCAGAGGAGATGAGCCTGTTACTTATATAGTGGCACCAAAGTTACAGGCTGGCATGGTCAAGTTCTATGAAGGTAATCAAATCTGTAAAGAAAACATGGTATTAAAACTTCTTTTGGTCATTCTTAATTTGTATGCAAAGGCAGATTTCATGTGATTTGTAAGTTAACAGCAATGAAGGGGGTAAGTTTCTAATGAAAAGAAGCTGTGATGCTGCATGGGAAGGGGAGTATGACAAGATAATTTACTTTTATCAACTTGATATTGTAAAATGGCCACAGTAAAGAGTTTAAAAGCTGATGTTTCAAGCATTAGCCCTATGTCAGAGCAAAACAGTAATGGACTGGAAAAGCTAGGAATATTGTTGAAAGCAAGTTTCTTACAATCACACTATAGTTAGTAAGAATACTTTGTGATGTGATTTTATTAAAAACTGATATTGTTTACATTACAATTATACTTGGATTATCTTGATGACAATACTCACATAAAATATTGTACAAAGAGACACCTGTTAACCCTTTCACTCCTGAGATCTGATTAGTAATTCTCCTTACTATCTGCCATACAATTCTTATGATGTTAGTTCAGAGAATTTGGTATTGGATCAACTAATAATCCCATGATTGGTATTCTCTATTCTCATCACCTGCCCGCTTGATATTGTATTGATATTGTAAGGAGAAGTCCTGTCTTGGTCACTTGTGGGAGTGAAAGGGTTAAATGTGATGTGTGATGTGCTTGTGACATTTTTCCTTTGAAACCTGTCTAACAGATAACACAGTGGTGGAGCATTACCCTTGCTTGGGAAAGGCACTAAAGAGCTATTATCATGGGGATACAATTGTTGTCTATCCTGGAAAATACAAACTTGAGGGAAGAGCTTATCAACTTGCAGATTCTGTTCATATCACAGGAATAGGAAATCCCTCCGAAATTGTTGGTAAATAGCTGCTGGTAATCTAATAGGAAAAAAAAAATTCACTCATAGGTGTGGACAGGATGTTAGATGATATTAAGGGTTTTCTTTTTGTGTTCTTAGTTGTGGAAGTGGAGTTGTGTAAGTAGTACTACTGGCACTATGGTTATGGGCTCCTGTGAATGTAGTTACCTAAAAGCTCAGTCAGTACTTCATACAAATTGTGAAAAAGATTATATGAACTTGTTATCAAAATGTCAAGCTACTATTGATATCTCTAAGTCAGCCATGAACAGTGTTTTCATTAAAATAAGCTGGCCTAGTAATAGACCTTAAATCAAAAGCACTTGGACTTGGACTTGAACCTTCACTAGGTTAAAGTGGTGCATTTGTAGAAAAGGCACCTCACCTCACACAGCCTCTCTCCTGCCAAGAGTATAAAGAGATACCAAATAACTGTCTGTGAGAAGTTGTGGGTCAGTGGGGGTCTGGAATAAATTGGGCCAGTGGAGCTTAGGAAGCTTAATAAATGCTATAATACAGTTTATGCAATCAGTGGTCCTCTGGCTTTCTATATGAGAGGGTTAATTTATTAAACAGGTGTGCTTCCACTGTTGTCTTTTGGCCCTCTTGACTCTGGTCACAAAAATAAATTTCAGATAAAAGGTTCAGCTATATTGAGGATTGTTTAATAGGACATGGTTTTGTTAAAAAATGGCTAAACTTTGTTTAAATAACCAGACTTTAATGTTTGCATCTGTCAGTATACAACAACATAAAATGTAAATTCTAACCAGTCATTTTGAATGAAAGTCTTCTGCAGTGATAACGAAGAATACACAATGGAATGCTGTGCAACTAACATTAGCATCAAGAATATCACCTTTGAACAAGAAGGAAATGAAAATGAGGGAGTAGTGCTAGTGAAGAGTGGCAGGGTTACATTTGATGATTGTCATATGAGATGTGAGACAAATGGTGTCACTGTGGAAAATGGAGAGCTGGTCATGAGGCAATGCAAAGTTCATGGTGCCAAGGTTAGCCTGATGGTAATTTCCTAGTCTTCAATCATAGAAAAGTTGTAGCTCTGAACCAATGTTCCCCTTATGTTTTTCCATTTTACTTTATAATGATAATTCATTTCCATTTTCTATTGTTGGATGATCAGTTTTAAACAATGGAAGTAGAGTTTTTGAAGGAAAACATTTTAACACTCTGCTCACACTGTTAAACTTAAGCTGCTACTCAGCAGACAATATAGAGTACCATATTGGGCCATCAAAGTTTGGTCAAGCTTGTATGTGAATTATACACTTAAGTTTTTAACTTGCATGCGTAGTTTAAGAAAGGACTTACATCACATGTTTGTCCTAGTGCCAACACAAAACTTTAACAGGATGATGGAGCTAGTGATCTTTAGGTGTGTTATTGAGTAAGTTTCATCTGATATGTTACAGTCACACCAGTTCACCATTGGCTCAATTTCTGCTGCTCTATAGAATTCAGTCGTAATTCCAGCATGAGTTCTTTTACTGAACAGTGCCTCTAGAGTAACTGGGCCTAAGTCAAGCACTTCTTGGGAATCTGTGATTTAATATTACTCATCTGAAGTTTCTTACACAAAATTTGAAAAAGATTGATGTATTATTCAGCAGTTTACTCACCATGCAGTTACTGAATTAATGATAAAAATTTACCAACATGGTCAAAGTATATGTGAATTGGATATCCTTGCCCTTGTGAATGTTTATTTAGTGAAAATTGGAGACTTTTTTCAAACCTGATGGATTCCCCCAAAGCTATACCAAGTGCTATATACTTGGGCCATACTTGATGTGGTTTATTTTTGAGATATGATAGCAATTACAATATCTATCAACTATATTCAATTTGTTATCTCCTTGCTTTTTCTTAAGTCTGCAGCAATTATTGTTTCCTCTGGTGCAAAACTTGATTTACAAGATAGCAAACTGTTTGATAATGGAGAATTTGGTCAGAATTTGGATGTGTCTACTGAACTTGCCACTGGAGCCATTGTCTTGGAGGTCTGTACTATAATTCCTTGAAGTTAAATTTCACTGCTAAAAGTGGAAATTGCGACAAGAGTATGCAAAGCTCACATGAATTGCACACAAGAATTGACCCCTTCAGTTCTTCATGTTCCCAGAAAATAGTGATTTAGAGAAACTATTTAATTATTTTCATGCTTTATTATACACTGTTTAAGCATAGACAAAATAAAATAAAACTATTCACCTCAGTGTCAGTGATTGGTGGTGGGTATTAAGTTTGCCACTTTTCAGCTCAATAATTATTGACCATTAACCACCTCCACCTCAGTGAATAATTTTTAATTAGAGGGAGTGGTAGAAGGCTGATAAACAACTTCTGTTAAAACCCTTGTTTTATTGTAGTCTGAGGCAAGACACATTTATCTGTCTTCCTTGAAGTATTTGAATGAGTACTGGAGATCCTGACAAAATGCTGGGGTGAATACCAGCAATGGATAAACACTTATTCAGATGAACTAATACTCCTGTCAGCTTCATTCTTTATTATCCAGGATAAGCTCTAAGGATTATACTTGTCAGTCTTCCATGCAGAATTGTCTGTATGATGATATCAGGAAATACATGTATGATCAGGAACAGAATATTCACTAACTGGATCAACATTGATGTACCTCATATGTGCACTAATTTTCAGGCCAAGTCGGATTCCAAGAAGACCACTGCAATTTTGTCTGATAATTACATCTCTAACAATCATTGCCATGGTATTTGTGTCAAGAAGGATCAGGAAATTTTTGCTGCATGCTGTGACCCTGAGCATGGCATCAAATTGGAAATGACAAACAATGTGTTTGAGGAAAACATACATGGTGACATTGGTCACTTCCTGGTTAACAAAGACTAATCTCGTAGTTCAATGGTCAACCTTGAAGGACCTGTGTCACTATTTTCTTGTATGGGCTAAAATGCAAGGTCTTTTGATAGCTAAGGGAAAAACTTAGATGGAACACCAGGTTTGCTTAGTGGCATTAAATGAAATTCACAGAGAAAGTCAATTGTATACAACTGGATCGTTAGTAAATAGGTAGGAATGATGATAAATTGCACAAAATTAAAGCAAGGGTAGAAAAAGTATGTAATTTTTCTCAAGCAGAGTCAACACCAGATGTGTTATATTATATAAATGCCTCAGAAAAAATGGATTTCCATTCACCCTTCAAACACTGTAATGTGGTCTCATAGTTTGCATGTGAAAAAAGAAAGAATATATGAAATGCAATAAAATGTATGTATCAAGACATAATCAACGTGTCCCTAAACTTAAAAGCAATATTTTCAAATGCCCCAAGGGCCTTTGAACTTTTGAAGATTTTTTTTCCAAATTCCTGCCCCCTCCCCTTTCCCAGTCCAAATTGGTGTTCAAATGCCCTATTCATTGCTTTTATAGCAGGCAAAATCAGTGACCCTAACTTTCTACACATTGACAAAGTTTTAAATACTAGACCTTGTAGACCTTATCTTCTGAGCCTTTAGCTTGTGAGAGTGAACTCTTTACCTTAAAAAACTTGATATTTAAAAATAAAACATTTGCATTCCACTGGAAAGATTTGACACTTCTGATCACTGCATGACCACAAGAAGCTACATTCTATGAAAAAATCAGTTGACACAACATTCACTCTGCCCCCACTAAGGAGGTATTTAGCAATGGAGTGGAAATTGAACTGCATTTTATTACAGTATCTCCCTCAATCCATATCAATGTGATACAATCACACAGAAAAAAGTGCATCATTGTACAGGGAAAAGGGGAAAAGAAAGTGAAGGTATTAAGGCCAAAGTTCAATCTAATTATCAATTCTCTGCCATTCATCTCTAATTTTAGGTTTAAGAACTTGTCATTAAATTGAAAAATATCTCAATTTACAATTTTCTTCCTTTTCATTGCCTTTCTGCTCATTTGTAGAAATTCCTTTTTGCTAAATCCTGGGAGTGACTGGGTTAACCTTTAAACTCCCAGGATATCTTTAGTAATTCTCCTTAATGTCTGTCATAATATTGTTGTTAGCTAAGAGAATTTGGTATTGGATTACCTACTAATCCCCAAATTGATATTTTCGTTATTCTCATCACTTGTCTACTTGATATTGTATCGATATTGTAAGGAGAAATTCAAAAGAGGCTTGGGGACTTGAAGGTGACTTCCAGATTTCCTCTCTACCCAAGGGGATCATGAATAGTGAAAGAAAGTTGAGGAAAAAATTTCAGGTTAAACGCACTTTGCAACATAAGTAACTGACACCTGTTTATTAATGTTCCTTTGACTTTTTATATTATACCTATATAATCCCTTTTTTCAATAATGTACAACTGCTAGGCAAATAACATGGTTTCATACAGGCTTTGAACTGTCAAACATTTGTTCTCCCTCTCAACTATCTCGTTAAGTACATCAAACAATCGCAAGAACTGACTCCGATTGGTACCAATGTTAAGATTCCAAATGATTATCGTTTTTTATAGCGTTCTCTCGGTTTCATTCCACCTTCAATAACCAAATGAAAGATCTCATCTGCGTTCTCCTTGGGCGAGGAATACAAGATAAATCCTTAATTTTCGTCAAGGATTAATAGCTAAAAGCAATGAATAAATTATGACCCCAGTTAGATGCAAGAGATGAGTGTTTTAGTTATGATCGACTAGATTTCTTTAGATGATGATAATTTGGCAAAATCTTGGTGAGAAAATCTAATTGCAGTGTTTGTGGTACAGGCCTCTCTCCTTGCACTCTCCTACTACAACATTGTCCATAAATCACTGTATTTTCTGGCAAAGTTTCCTGAGAAGTAACTTCACACTTGGCTCCTATTACACACCCATGAGAAACACTTGTGAATCGGCCCACCTTACTCTTAGCTTCCAGGATGTTGTTATCGCCCACATTTACAGCTTCACACTGGCTGCCGACCTCAAAAACGTTATGATTTCCAATTTTCAAGACAATTTTTCCGCCAGATTGTCCATCGTCGTCAAGATAAGACGAGTTGAGTATTGTAGCCTGTTCTTCAATAAGGTTGTTGTCCCCAATAATAATTGGCCCGGCTTCTGCTATTATGCGGGCCTTGGGGTGGATGACCGTTCGAGAACCAATTGTAACCTCACCTTTTATTTCAGCCTCTTGGCAGACAACTGATCCGGAGCCAATTTTTAATTTACGAGGCGTTTGCGATGACGAATGTTTCGACATGATTTCCACCAACACAGTTGTTTTCACCAGCACAATCAATCTCGTTCTTCTTCCCACAATTCACTCCTCTTTTATGGCAATAGCCGCTGAACAATAATTTAATCATTTTTTTTTGCGGGGGTTTCATACATTAGCGTCCGTTTCAACTTATGACCAGGTTTAGGAAAATGTGTGGAAAAAAAATCAAAGAATTGTAATATGCAAATTTGTTTTTAGCTGTAAGATACGCAGAGTGGCTGTAAGTCTCACTTGAAGTAGTCAACAGTGGTCTATTTTCATCTACGCGCTCTGGAACCATAGCGTGATGATTCATCGTTCGTTTCCCCGCAAATCAGGGATTTCTTCATAGGGATCGAAATTTGCCATGCCACTGCCAAAGAAAATTCCTCGAGGTGGAAAATCCAAAAGTCAAGATGAAGGTCGTGTGTTTGCAAACCGTTATCGCGTGGAGAAACGCCTTGGAAGCGGTAGCTTTGGGACTGTTTATCTTGTGGAAGACGTGAGAGCTCCTGGGGAATGGTAAATGTGTGTTATGTTAACTAGTTTTGTCAACAACCGCCTGTTTGAATCAAAATTATCTTCGTCTGTAACTTAACTCTTCCACACATCTGGTGAGAAATAAAGAGTAGCATACTTAGTAGTTATAACAAAAATAAACAAAAAAACAAACAAATAGAACCGTCCGAAAAGTATGCGGTTGGTGGACTTTACCGGACGGAAAACTTTCACCGGCTGCCGCAGTGTTATCCTTTGTGTGGTATCATTTATGTTTATGTTTATGTTTACATACCTTTAATAACAAATGTTATTCTTTAATTTTGGTGGTCCGTATTCTGGAATGTCGATACCATAGTCCCTGTACTAATGTGTAATATTGAAAAAGGGCAATAATATCAGTTTCTATAGGAACAATAATTGTGTGACTGAGTAGAACTCAAGTGAGCACTTGATTGATTACGAACAAGTCAAAAAAGGTGAAAAAGCTGCCGCAACAGAATGTTTTAGAAGGCGACGTTTCACACACCAAATCTTTGGGAACAAAGTGCGGTGTAGTTGGATTATATTCAACTTTGACAATGACTAATACACTGATTGATTTACAACTGGATTGCTAAGAAGAACTTATTGATTCCTGAAGGGGAGAAAAGGCGCTGATTCAAAAGAAAAGTTGTTTTCATTGCGAAGCCTCAGCAATTTTGCGTAACATATGAGACAAGTCTGTCCGTGTAAGATCTTTTCTAGCCAAACATTACCAAATGAATCCTCACTTCTTGTTTGAATGAAATAAATGGTTGTTGTAAAAAAAATTCTCCAGGATTCAACTCTGTTATTGAAATGGACTAAGGTTACACATAAGAAATGGGCAAAGAAGATCTTATTTTCCATGCCATGGTAAAAAAAAAAAAAAAGAATCTGTATGAGGTAAATTTAAAGTTCACCAAAAAAATCTTTGAAACAGGGATCAAAATTCATTATTAAACAAACTTCTTCCACTGCAGGTTTGTAGAATTTTTTTATAACTGAAACATTTTTTCCGTAAAACATTTAGGAAGGTTTTGAAGGAAATATTTGTTGGGGAACTGCAGCCAGATGAAACAGTAGATGCCATGAGAGAAGCAAGAATGTTATCTGATGTAAGTTTAAATTTTCAGTTCATATTAATTGGGAGATACATGTATGCAAGAGGGCACAATGTAGAACAAGCAACATTTACCCTGAACTAAAAACTTAAATTTCTTAAGTGTATATCCAGTAAACAATGAGCATAAAAATACAATAAGAAAAATTTGATTTAACCCTTTAACCCCTAAGATCTGATTGTTAATTCTCCCCTCTAGCTGCAACACATTTCCTTGTAAATTAGTTATGAGCACTTGGTGCTAGGTCAAGATAGCAGCCTCTACCTGATGAGTTTGAATATTCTCATGGCCTTTTTGCAGAATGATGTATGGATATTATAGGAAGAAGTTTTGTTTTATTCACTTTTAGGAGTTAAGGGGTTAACTCGTGATATTCCCCAAGAATATTGTAGCATTAGCAATTTGAGAGAGTGCTCTCATTTCTCAGTGTCTTTGTTAAAAAAAAGCACTTAGTGATTCGAACTCAGATTACAGTTTTTATTTTTTAGCTAAAGAATCCTAACATTGTCAAGTTCTTGGACAGTTTCATTGATGGAGAGTTCTTTTGCATTGTTACTGAATATTGTGAGGTGAGTTTAAAATGTTTATGTCAAGCATACCTGTCTTGATTTTAAGTTTGTTTGTCTGAGATTACTTAGCATGTAGTGACAGCTGGATCATCTTCTCTATTCTTGAGTTCTCTCCCAACTTCTCCATTTAATTCATAACTTGATATTTGCACATTGAAAAGCACACACACCAATTAATTTATTATGTACTTATAGCAGCAAACTAGATATATTTGGAAAGTATTCTAATGGATCAAATGGAAAGGCATTCTGTTCATTTGTGCTCTTAAAATAATTAATTAATTAATTAATAATAATTGTGTAAATTTTGAATGTCTTCCCACCCACCAAAAATTGTTGCATGTCTGATCAAATTGAATGTAAATTTTCTACTGTCAATTCATTCTAACTGTTGTAAAATATACATGAAAAAATTTCGCACATCTAATTGGCTGAAAACAGGTGAATTTTTCATGTAACATAAGTGCAAAGTTGTAACATGAGAGCAAAGTTGTGACATGAGTGCTAATTACAAATTATAGCATGAGTGCACTGCCACAATATCGCCCCTCTCGACTTTCTGTTATGCGTTTTTCATGTAAATTAGTAACAAGTAATAACATGATTCAAGTGCAATTTAGTCTAAATTAGTACTTAACAATTTTTCAACAATTGTAAATTTCACTGGCCCTATGGGCTCTTGCAATTTTTTGTTGTCTTTGAAACATTTACTTGTGCTTATTAACACCAAATTGCATTCGAAATCATGTTGTTACCTATACTAATTATAACCCAAAATTCCAGTTTGAGGAATGAAACCAAAGTTTAATGTTACTTCTGAGACATCTCTTCACCTTGAAGAAAAATGTTTCTGCTGGCATGATCTAGAAAATTAATCCTCATAGTGTTCACAGCTAGTGAGTCTAATTATAGACAATGGCTAGCAGATTGCTTTTGTCTTTGTTTTTGTATTTGTTTTGGTTTGTTTTTTTTTGCTTTTGGTATGTGAAATATTTCACAGAGATTTATGTCTGCATGTGTAAAATGCCTTCATGTTAAAACTGACAATTTCTTTGAATTTCTTCATAACAGTATATAAGTTCCTCCACCCTTCTATCGGGAACTTCTCTTTGACCATCATCATGCATATTTGGGGAGTATAGACATAATCTAAAATTGTGCTTTTTTTTCTCCTACCTAGGGAGGTGATCTTGATGATAAAATTAAGGCTTGGAAGGAAGCTGGGAAGAAATTTGACGAGTCATTAATTCTGGCTTGGTTTATTCAACTAGTTCTAGCTGTGAAGTATATGCATGAAAAGTAAGTTTGTTTGAAGTTAATCCCCTCCCTATTCATTCATGGTGCTTTATTTTTCTGATAACACTTTTTGATTACTGGGCCCAGTTATATAAAGGCCACATAACACTATCCAATGGATAAATCACTATCCATTGGATAAACATTAGCAAAACGTAATGCATTATCCACCTGATAGAGATTTACCCAGTGGATAGTGTTATCCATGCTTTGAACAACCCAGGCCTGTATGATAAGTAATCTAACTGACATTTTCTTTAATACAGGCGGATTCTACATAGAGACTTGAAGACACGGTACAGCATAACACCTTTATATTTTAAATACACTTAAATTATTATATAACTCGTATTACGTATTTCATCTTTTTATTTTATCCATGCCATCTCTGATACCCAAACCTCCCATTTTATAACATTACATTGAGCAGTCCATCATATATTAAATACTTTTTCATACTTACTACATTCTAATGTCTCACTGCGAGTAAACTACTGAAAAGTGACAGATTTTACAAATACCTGCTTCTCATAATACTGAGATCCTTTTTAATTTTTCAGGAATATTTTCCTTAAGAATAACTTCATAAAATTAGGTAGGTATAACTAGAATTTGGGTCAAGAAAAAAATGTTTTTATTAATGGCACAGGAGGCAAATTGCAAAAGCCCAGACAGTGACAAAGTGCTCAAGGGATGTTGGCTTATTTCTCCTGTCTCTGATGCTCATGCTGTATTTTGGCAGCCTGCTTTTAGACTATTCTAACTGTCATTCATTTACTTGTCAAGACATGTTGTATTTTGTAATGACTATCAGATCAAAATGATTTGCATTGGTTTTTAAATAAAGAAATATTCAAACTTTAAACTACAGTATGGTAGAAAAAGATATTTCATCTTGTCACAAGCATGGGACAAAGAAAAAATTCTATTTTTTTGCTGTTTCAACAGGTGACTTTGGTATTTCGAGAATTTTAATGGGTACATCTGATATGGCTACAACATTCACTGGGACACCATACTACATGAGTCCAGAGGTGCTTAAACATGAAGGCTACAAATACAAATCAGACATATGGTATGACTTTGTGTTCATTATGGTGAACTTCCTTCTCATCCATTTATTAAGCTGCAGTTAGAATTAGGGACCCAAGTGTTTGGCAACTGGCATACCAGTAAATTACAGGAAGTGGGAGATATTGTGACCCCCCTGTTTCTCCCTCCACCCCACCAAACTTAAAGTAAGACTTATTCTATAATGAGCTTATCTGGAGTGACCTTATGCATGAGCAAGTTAGCGTGAGCGTGTTGGTCCATGGAGGAGTGGTCAGATACTGACTTTGGACTTCACTGATATGCGTGCTATATAAGATTCAGGACAGTGAGTTACAAGTTAGTTAAAAAATGTATTGTTGATGTTTTTCACAAAGATGACACCTAAATGATAGGAGACCTCTTGTATAGTTGGAATCTACTGAATGGTTTTTTAATGTCATGAGCCCTTCTGCTCATTGGCTTATCCACATGTAATGTAACCCAACAAGGTACTTTTGTATTCTTTCACAAGTTTCCTGACTCATAAACATTCAACCTCTTTAATAATCACATAATAAAATTGCATAAACAGAGCAATCTGATTGACAACATGTAGGAAACAGGGCAATGATTTTTTTATTGCCTATTGAATATCTATTTTAAATGGAGAGCCTTGATTAACATTTTAAACTAGCCCTTTGGTTTCTTCTATTATGTAATTAAATTGTTTGAACCTATTAAATCTGCTCAGGACCCCCTTCTTGACACAAGCATCTGAAATTCTATACAAAATTCAGTGAGTCCAGAGCTTATTAAAGATGGAATATCTCATTTCCAGGTCTATGGGTGTAGTGTTGTACGAGCTGTGTAACCTACAGCATGCATTCCAGGGTGAGGTTAGTATTTCAGAGTTGAAAAGCTCCTTCAAGCTTTCCTTTAATGTGACATAACTTGAGACAGGCTTACTGCTATGACAAAATATCAGTCTCTTGGACAGTATTACATGGTACACACCACAGACTTTAGGTACGTTCTCCACTGAAGTACCTTTTTCTTTGTGTAGAGTAGCCTGACAGGCTTTTGACATCTGATGGAAGGTTGGAAAGAAGTGGTGCGAGCCAATTGCTGAATGTCCGTTCATTGTAGATAACTCTAATTGGCTCATAGATTTGTATATAGGTTTAATGTCTAACATGTTGGTTGCAAGACTGCAGAATAATTTTTCTGAGCCAAATTTACTGTGTGTGCAATCTAACTGTTTTATTTCTAGAGTCTGATGGGGGTGATGTACAAAATTGTTGAAGGGAACCCACCCAAATTATCTAAACATTACAGCAAGGAGTTACAAACTCTCTATGAGAGGTAAGACTATGGAGCCACAAGGATAATATCTTTTTTACTTACTTTACCTGATATCTGCTGTGTCTCTACAAAAACCCTATTTGCTGGCATTGTCATAAGGAAATGAACTGAACCATACTCTGTTTATTTAACACTTTCATTCCATTTTATTACTGTGATAGCTGCACAAGAACATTCTTCTATCCACAGTCAAGCAATGCAACAACAGAAGATACTCATGTGTCACTGGTCAAATTGTGTCTAGTCAGCTGATAAAGAACAACAGTTCCAATCCTGATTTCAAAACTTTTGTGATACCTAATCTAGAAACCATGTCATGAATTTCTTTTCTTGTGACAGGATGTTAGATAAGGAGCCTGCTAATCGACCTAGTGCAAGTGAAGTTCTCAAAAATGAGTACATTGCTCAGCATTTATCGGTAAGGGTATTACAGTGTGCGTTGTATGTAAGGAGTATAGACTGTTTTGGTGACTTTGATTTAACCCCAAATGAGCAGGTGTAGAATGAAGGAGAAAATTATGTGTATGAGGCATTAGTATTGATTTCAAACTAATTCTACAACAAAGGTCCCTTTACTTACAAAGCACAAAACTGATCCCCTTTTGGTTTTCAAACTGAGTGTGTAGTACATTAATTTCACTTCACAATGACATGGGACAAGAACATCAATGGTAGCAGTGGCAAGAGTTTAAAATTTGTTTTTCATCCAATTGTCTACTTGAATGAATCAAAGTAGGCTCTCCAAGCAAAGATAATACAAACTACAGTCTTGTTGATTTCTTCGTAGAAATTAAAGCATCAAATAGACGATAAACTTGGACACTCCATACAGTAAGTACTGCATCACATGTACAAGTACACTGCCTTTTCCTCCATTACCTAGTGCAGTTTTTTTTTGTCTTTATGGTACCACAACCGGCAGCATGTCAAATTGTGGTATCATTTACAGAAAGGCATGCAACACTGAGTAACCTTCATATTTTGAAATTTGAAAATGTGATTATTTCAAATTTTTGTACCTTAAAAATAACTTCTGGCTCTGTTTGTTTCCCGACAAATTCTATATACCAGTATTGTCTTTCTGTTGTAGTTTAGTCAGTGCGTTGAGTTTTGTTTGTTCAAAACTTCCTGGCGGAGTATTCCACAGCGCCGCCCCCCCCCCTCACCCCCCCTCCTGAAGAAGACAACTTATCTCTTAATTTTGGATGACCAATCAACTTCAAGAATTCTTGTAACAGGCAAATTAGTATGTACCCAGGGTATATTTTTAACTTTACTACAACACAAGTTGCACAACACTCATTAAGGGTTGCTTGGACTTTCTTGCAATTCAACAAGAGTGACTGAACAGCAAGGTGGATGTCTGTATAAAGAACCTGCAGGAAGACCGCTGACACCAATGTAAGTCAGTTTCTCAATGAAGAGTGATGAAAAAAATATGTAGTTTTATTGACACGTGACTTGCACGTATTTGTAATGTCATATCTGCTGGCACTATGGGTTAACTAGATGAATTTCTGTAAGTCTTTAATTCTTGGATATAAGGATTGGAAGAACATGATATGGAACTTAAACTGTTTTAAACATAAATTTACATCCGTTTGACCAGAAATGCTTGCTTGTGGTGGCATCACAGGGCACCCAAGCTCTCTATGAGGGGAAAGTGTTATAAAGCCTTTTATGGGAGCTTAGGCTCAGCTCCATAACTCCATAAATAATGAAGGAAATAAACTCTAACCTTCAGATAGAGTTGTTTGTTCTCTGGTAGCAGCTTCTGCCATATCGTCGAGTTTTAGCTGAGCTCTCATCCCACTTCTGCCTTCTTCTTAGTACAGGCGGTTGTAGATCATCTTCTCATAAAGAGCTTGGCCTCACTGCGGTGGCATCATCTCTATTTATTTTAGAGGTTCCATTCGTTTACCGTTTTATCTCTTTGTGTTTTATTGAAAGGGACAAAATGAAACTTAGGAAACAACAAAAGGCAGATGAGGAGGCTGAGAGAGTTAAGTATGTGTTATTATAGTATTAAACACTTCTTCATGTTTGTCCACTTAGTTGGTCTCCACATAGCATCCATTCCTCGACATGCGCACGCTTGAAGGCTGATGTCTCTATCCAAGACTTATCAGCTATAAACAACATATTTATCCTCTTAAGTTTAAAGACAATGTAAGATTGAGAATTTAAATTAAGTTGGATTTCTATTTTGTATTTGGACCGAGATACAAACCTGTCAGTAGAAGTGATCCTCGTCAAATTGTTTCGTGTTGTATTTCAGCCTAATTGATTTGCTTTATGGTCACTCGAAGAAAAGGCCCGCATAGAATTGTCAAAGAGCGATGGAAATTGGAAATTCAAACCTTTTATCGAAAAACAAAGTGAAAACTTTTTACTTGTTTTAATCTCTGATCAAAGTTGTTGTTGAACTGTATTTGAAGGAGATTTACCGCCGCCCAGGTCGCTGAAACTCAACAACGATACTCATCTCATAAGAAAAATCAGGTAACTTTGACCAATATTCGTTTGTCGATTCACTTGTTATGGCTCCGACTTACCTCGGCGAGGTTTACATAACCATCAGTACAAACCATCTTTTTGTTCTCTTGACAGCCAAATTCCATGACTGTGTAAAAATCATTAGAGTGAACAGCCTCCCTAAACGCAACTAGGGTATGGTTGTACACCTCTCCTAGAAGAGCTGTGTCACTGAAAAATCGCAAAATTCATCACTTGAAATTTCTTAAGGCGGTAAAAGAAACGAAATCCAGTCAATCTAAAATAAATTTTAAAATGAAGTGTTGGCTTTTAAGAGGGAATAAATACATAGTCTTTTGGATGTTCATGTCATAGCTTTTATCAATCACTAGGGATGTAACATAATCTTAGTTACTGTACTTACACTTAACTATCAGAGCCGAGTGTCTCTACCCTGGGTCGCGGAGCATCCAGACGTATTTAATGACGCAGCCTTTACCATAACAGCCACTGACTCACTGGAGTTTAGTCCCCGCACCTCACCCCAGACAGGAGTGCCGGTTATGTCACGGAAAAATAGAGACGAAAAGCATTGTGTGGAAGGTAAGAACAGTTATACAAATGAGGCGTAATGATAGGCAAATACAGAAGAACCTAAACGTATACTAGAGTGGCTTACGGGGTAGGCATCTTATTAGGGTGAGTTAACGGGGAGAAGCTCGCAGAGTATTCTTTTTGACCGTCGCCCACCCCCTTGGTACGAATTTTTTTCTCTCCCCAGCCTTTCGCTACTGTAAAAATTAAAGATGGCAGCTATATAATTTTCACCGAGATAATAACGAGTACTCGCCCACCAAAATTACGCCTGCTCTGCAGGCTAATTCAAGAAGGATATGATGACTGCTGGATTTTTTTTTTCGGCCTTTATATAACATCGGGATCGGTGCTGATGTTGTAACTTTGTTTTATAACACAGCAGAAGCATCTTTGAGTTTGACTGACGTGTCGGAAATTCCCGATGATGCCGAGCTAGCTGAGACGTTCTATTCGCAGTTTGAGGATGACTTTGAAAACGATGATAGCGAAGATGAATTTGAGAATGAAGATGATTTGAGTGCGCTGATTGGTCAGATGAATGATGCGTTAGAGCAGACTGAGTCACGCGACCAAAAACTAAGTGAGGGGGACTTGCCAAGTGAAGGTTTCACAGATACTTGGAGATACAAGAGAATCCAGGCACTAAAGGCGTATCCTTTTTAACTGCTCCTTTATGGTAACCACCTCCCTTACTCACCCTAAATAATAGCATTGATAACGTTCCAGGTGGGAAAAAAAACGACTTTTCGTACATTTTTTGAAAAACCTTTCTCATTGTGATTCATTTATTGTGTGGAATTGGAAGTAAGAGAAATTCCCTTTTTCGAACGAGTGGTGGGTCATAGTAAAATCCCCCAACGCTTTCCTCTCCTCTTGCAATTTTTATTCTACCAGTAATGTGAGACATGTGTGCGTAAAACGCTGTCGTTAATGTGTGGACGAAGACAAACCCATTACAATACTAAGTCTGAAAATTTCCGACGTTGAGTCTTTGTGAAAGAGCAAACCGGTTCTCTTGCAGGTTGTTGGTCTTTAGAGACAACATTGTTCAGTTTGCCACCGCCATTCCTTTTTGCTTACGTTCTTACTTTGGTAAAAGATTAAATGACACGAAAATTGGCTTTAACTTGAACTTAGTGAAGGTGAGAGGCTGCTTGGACCCGAGGCATTCCGTCGAGTGTACTCTTTTCTTAAACAAGTCCGCTTTGAAAACGAACTCAGAAGTGAAGACTCCATACAAGACGGGCTGGCCAAGATTGTCGATAAACCCAGAGACTGCTTCATAGTCGATCAATTGCTTTTTATGGAAAAACAGGCAGAAATTGCTTCAGTCAATGACACAGAGTGAATTGGTTCAGTTTGAAGTATAGTCTAGTAGCTTTGTAAATATTAGTGTGAAATACAACTCGCTTTTTTTCTGTCTTGCAGTTAAACGTTCCTCTACATCAGTTCTTTGGAAAGTAAAATTCGAATCACGTATTTCCAAAGTTATTCAAGAGGCATTTACGTGGTCTTGAGTAACATTTTTTTTCGCAGTCATTATTCATAGTTATTAATTTTAATGTATTGAATTGAATTTTTACAATGGAGAAAAAGACGTGAGAGGATGAAAACATGCTACAGATTAGCTAACATTACCTGCTTTTTTTCCAGCAATGTTTGGTGTTAAACTGAAAAAGTTATTTTTCTGGCTTGTTCAAACTCACATTCCAAAGTCATGCGCGAGTTTTCCAGAAAAAGTCGCATAAATGTTTTAATTAGTGTCATCTGCCAAGCAAGTGATAACCCGTCCTCGTATTTTAAAGTTATTTTATTATCATTGGGGATCGACATCGTGAAAGCAAGTTAGTATATTTTCAATATTTTTACGGAGCTGGACGGGAGGTAGATTTTGACTAGCAGTAGAGTTAGAGAGAGAGCAGCAGAGAGTTATTAGGTAAACTTCATCATTTTACAAATAAAGTGTTTCGAGTGCCAGAAACTTTTGTTTCCCCATCACAGGAGTCTCTTCTCTTCCCGGTTCATGGTGATTGGCGGAGAGCCAGTAGTTATAGTGGTATTCGATATGGTTTGATTGCTCTCTTACGGAAGTGTATAACATTTCAAGGGGTATACCTTGATTTACATTGAAATTCAGGTTTAAATTATGAGCATAACGAACCTGTACCCACACTCTTAAAACCAAACTTAAATGTTTGTTTGACCCTACCGAAGGTCTGATAACGCGATCCACAGAATATCTATTCGCTGGATAAAGCTATACGTTTTGCCATCACTTATCCGTTGGATACCGATTTATCTATTGGATAGCATTATCCGCCCTTTATACAACTGGGCCCTGGACTTTTCTCCCGACGCCTGACTGAAGGTGCCTGTTCACGAGTACGAAGAGGCTGAAAAAGTAACGGATAAATATGACGAAAATTTGTTTCCCTATTTTGACTTACAGCTAAGATGAGAGTCGTTGTGATTTTACATGGTAACTACCCAGTATAATTTGGTACTATCGCTCTACTCCAGTAGCTTTCAGTATGGTTTTCTATAGGATCGCGTGAACGGAGTCAGACAGATGTTAACATAAGAAGTCAAAAGTTAACTCTCGCGTTACCTTTTGCCCTGGCCACTAAACTACCATATTTCTTCTCTTCTACTGTCTATATTTGTTTTAGAAACAAAGTTGTCTAAAAAAATTAACAGCGAAACGTTTGTATCATGATATAGAGATATTAACTTCAGACCCTAACGTGTCTACTGCTCTGTTGCTACTCTATAGCGACGAAAAGACTTTTCCTTTTGGCGAAAAAGTCTAGCGACGAAAATTTCGACATGGCTTTACCTCCATGTCGCCGAGTGTACACTTCACACGAATTGGTCTTCACATTAATTCTAAACTTTAACAAAATCCCTGAAAGGCAGAGAAGTGAAAAGACTGGCAGATCTGGTAGAAGATGAGCGATGGCACATTCAGTTAACGTCGAAAGAACGATGACTACAAAACCTCACGTTAATGCATAACGAGTAACTTTATTAATTCAATATCAACTCTCCCATTAATAAAGATATGATATAGTCCCATAAATACAATCTATGAACACAACGTCTCCGAACATTTATCTGAAATTAATGGGAGAACTCGAGTATAAGGAGAAACGTGAAAACCAGCAAGTTTCGCCCACTAAATCTCACCCCTGTTTAAGTTCCTTTGGAGTCTATATCTCATAGGACAAAAATTAAGTAACGAAGTAAATATTTTGAAACGTTACAAAATCAAGTAAACTCATAAAAATAGTCAAAATATGAGAGTTTCTTCGACACTAAAAACTCGAAAGAGAGAACTTTAACTGAGGATGAAAAAAAAAAAAGTATTTCCTCTCTTGATAGCTCTTCTACTCATTGGGAAGCAGGGATATCTGTAGCCAACACACGGAATAATCCATTGTGTTCTTGACCTTTTTTGGGTCTTCCAGATTTTCGTTGTAGAGCAGCGTTGGAGACAAGATCACTTCTGTCGAGCAAAGCCATTAGATCTTGATCTTTTATCAGTAAACCTTCGCTGGACACTACTTTGTGATGATCACTCATCTCCAACAGTTCGCGAAGATCCTTTGTTTCTAGTACCCCTGTATCTCGGTTACCCTTGAATTTTCCTGCAAATGAACAGACCGTTCTCCTAAGTGAAACGTTCTAATCTATAACAGGGCAGAATTATTGAATGAACATACATCGACAGAACCAGTGTGTGAACAGTAATTAACCAGAACAAAACCTTAATTATCCGAAACAATATTCACAAATAAACAAAATAAAACAGAATTAATAAATGACTATTCCAACCGTAACGTATACAGTATACCTGAACCCAAAGTCGTTCTTGTTCTGTTGTGGTTTCTAAAGTAACCCTTTTGCAGGTTTTAGATAAAGGTCGACAATTTCTGCGAGCATGATAAGTGATTTGATATCTCAACATATCTTACATCTCACTTTTACGTCTTTGGTTCCCTATGACCCGTGTAAACATGGGGTTTTCCTACGCCCCAATAACACGATGATTGAAGAACCTAACAGCCTCGTAACATCTTTTCGCTTCAGTTTGATCTTTTACAGGTGGTCCAGAAAACTATCCATTGTGATAAATTAAGTTGTTGCTCCAAGAAACCAATCAAAAAGCGTCTTAGATTCTATCACCGCTACTCAACTTTCCAGGCAGTACGAGAAATACAAAGTAATTACAACGAAGCAAGCAATGATGAAAGTAACCACCACCCATAGTAACCTTTATGGATGATCATCTTTTCAAGTTTCCTCTTGCTTCCTGCTCGCTCGACAATCTTCTGATCAACAGTATTTGCTGTAACGTAACGATACACAACAACTGGTTTGGTTTGACCAATCCGATGACAACGATCTTGGGCTTGTAAATCCATCTGTGGATTCTGAAGAATCGAAAACAAACAGCTTTAATCTAACAAGTTAAACTCCTATGTAAAATATAAAGTGAAGTCTTGGCTCACATAGCTGGAAAAGACCATCGTGGTTTTTGAGGCATGAACTAACAGCGAGTGTTGCGATTCCTGTTGTACAAGTACGAGACACATTCTAACTATTTTTTAGCCTACGGCTGTACCTCCTAATATTTCCTTAGGTTTCTTTGATTGTTTATTGGTACCTGTGGTATGTTCTCGTGGCTGTAAAAGTTATTTGCCTCGCCCAAGAACACCAGACGAAGCAACCAGCCAAGGCTCGACCCATGATCGTTCGTTCGGCAGTACTCCGCATCCTCAGATATCATATCAATAATTAAATGTTTTATTCACCGCTGACGATACTTTGACCTTATTCGGCTGACAATTGTTATTAAAATCAACTCACCCAATCACTGTCATAAATTATTACTGTGTCTGCTACAGACAAGTTCAGACCCAGGCCACCAGCTCTTGTACTCAAGAGAAACACACACACTGATGGATTAGATTCAAACTTCGCTATCTAAGTAAAGAATAAGAAATCATAAAAGATAGTTAGTTACCGAAAGATGCGTCTCGCCCTTCTTGCTTGTAGTAGATACAAAATGTTTTCTCTGTGTGGTAATTTCAGGGAGAGATGAACCCAAAGGGAACTTTTGCCCCAATCACACCGACAAAACATGTTTAGTTGACCAGTTCTAACTGAATAAAAATCAGCCAAAGAAAACTGAAAGACCAAATTTTACATACGGTTCGAGTAATCACCACCTTTTAAAGTAGTTGTGCTAAATTTAGCTGAGATATGTGCACGTGTTATTAGTAATCTTGCAAGCAGGTAAGAAAAAAGTTTATTTCTAGCATTAAGAAAGTTTCAGTTTCCCTCCCACCCACACCATCGACAGTTTTGATTTTACCTTCATCTCATTCGTGTTTGTAATTTATTCTGGATTACTGGACCGTTGGTTTACTGTATTCGCACAGTATCTTTGTTATGTAATAGTCTAGTGTGTTATTTACGTAGGATATATACATTTAATAAACTGTCTGGTCCCAAAACAGGCCACTGTCTGTTGTGGTGTTTAGACGTGTTTTAGCTTAGGTGTGAACGGGGTATTAGGCTAAATGTTAATAAGCATTGACAAACTGATGACCGAAAAGATATTGTTCACTGTGTAAAAATTGATGTAGATCAAGTGTACAATCGTCTTGACAAGTATAAACTCGTTTCTCCAAACAGCAACTGGTTATTTAGCCTGTAAACTGTGTTAAATGGTTCTCTACTTACCTCCTCCTGCCTGTCCGCTATATTCATTTGCCCATCTAACCTGGAGTAACCATAGTTCCGCATAATGCAGTAGTCCTCCAAAATATCCATCACACTGGTCCATTGAGAGAAAATCAACACCTAACATAATATATGAAGTCAAATCGACTGAGCAAATTTGTTCGATTCAACAAAAAATTAAAACAAGTACTGTACGACGTAATCTCGTGATTATTCACAAAATAATGGAGAATAACTTTGGTAACTGGACCATGGAAAGTGTTTCCAGAAAGCCTAAATAAGTTTCATATAAGAAAGAGCATCAGCAACTATAATTGCACTCCTTGCGGCATGCACATGTTTCGTTAATTGATATTTAAATTATTGATCAACATTTGATTTTGCAATTATTCGCGTACTTGACATATCGATGGCGTAATCGCTGAGTAAGTTGATCTCTATTTAAAAGGAATGATACGTTCTTATTAAAAGTGTTCGAAACTAGTGTTTTTCTGCTCGATCTGCTGACCTGTTACCTATACTGGAATAATTTATTAGATATGACTACAGAAGTAATTTGTTTCGTAACAAGTTGAATTTTAAGAATTGTGATTTCATTTTTCCCGCAAGCAATTTCAAGAATCGCTCGCTATTAGAATCTAATGAATCATGTATTATTTCTCATAGATCGAATAAATTA